TGCCACTTTAACGGGAAAGAAGAATGGGAAGTATTACTTGCCACTTTAATGTGAAAGAAGAATGGGAAGTATTACTTGCCACTTTAACGGGAAAGAAGAATGGGAAGTATTACTTGCCACTTTAATGTGAAAGAAGAATGGGAAGTATTACTTGCAACTTCAACGGGAAAGAAGAATGGGAAGTATTACTTGCCACTTTAATGTGAAAGAAGGTTTGGAGTGATAGTTGGGAAAAGGACATTTGGGTATTTTAGTAACAACTGTCTGAACCAACCTGGCCGGGCCGAAAGGAGAACCTGGTTTTTGTCTCCAGTGTTAATTCCAACACCGACGCTTGGCTGTTGTTCACTGCTGCCACACCAGATGTCGATCTACGACGTATTAATCTGTAGGTGAAGTCTATAACATAAACAACTAATCCGGAAACCACCCACTTCCATGTCTGAGAGAAAAGAAATAAATAATGCAGCGTTGTAGAAAATGTAGCGCAGTGTTAAGCATACTAATTTTCTTTCCTTTCTATATTTTCGCACCCTCAAAATGTAATTCTGGTATCTCAGGTAAATTTATAACTTAGAAGCTTATAGAAAAGTAAAATAGTTTGCTCGCTGTGGAACAGATACATGCACACATGTTCTCAAAGAAAGTATATTTTGCAGTATTTATGAGTTAATTAGTAAATCATCTACTTTTACCCACCTGAGTGTTCTGAGGGATAAACTTAGGTTGAACAACGCATTCATCAAAATATTCGTGTAATCGCTCTAGGTGGGCCGTTTTAGAGTCAGTGTGGGTGAGATTGTCCATTCTGCATCCAGGAATGTGATGGTCAATATTACTCTGTTCTTTCAGCACTCCACTGTTAAATAAAAACGGGGAAATGTAGAAACAGTAAATAACTTCATAACAAATAGATAATAATATTTCAAACAAGAAGTAAATACAAGCTAATAAGTTAGAAGTGAATTTTTACTTGCTATAACTTTTTAGTTTTTCTGGTGTGTATTTATGTAGGGTTTAATACACCCAAATATAATTTCAGGTTTCATCATGAGGATGATCGCTAAGTCGTAATATCTCATTGTCATGTAAATAAATGGCGACTCTTATCTTATTGACATTTGAATGGTGTCATAATTCACAAATGATATGGTGTGATATCCGTTTAAAGTAAAATAAGTGGACGTAGTGGGCGAAGTCATATTATGCAGTGATGATCAAAGTTTTTTAAAAGCTATCCACCAATGTTAATCAGAAGGTGTGTCCGAGCTTTTTGATAAAACTTATTTTATATCAATTTACGTTTTTTGTTTGTGAATTTATTTGTGTATCCAAAAGTTTTCCTACAGTTTGTAGTTAGCAGAATCAAACTTGGCGGACGAACTCGGGGTAGCCCGGGAAATGCCTTTATCAATATGTGTAGCTCCACTACCAAGGTGAGGGGGGGGGGTAGTAGAACGCAACCAGAAGGTTACCCAGACATGCTGAAAGTCTAGGAGTCATTTTTCAAAATCGACGAATCAGAATTTCGCATCAGAATTTTTTCTTGGCTTCTACCCTGGATCCCCCGTCGAACCACGTTTGAAACTGTGTCCATGCCCCTCATTCACAATCTAATGGGATCAAATGTGATACAGAATATCCCTTGGGGTAGTTATCGAAGTAATTCAGGATGGAGGAGCTTGATTGGTACATTGGGACATCTGTGAATCACGAGGGAATCTATGAACCCCACTGCATAGTTCGGGTATTTTATGCTAGTTAGTAGAAAATCCTTTACTCCTTTTCTATAACCCAGATGGGTGAGGCTCAGTCCAGTGGTTTGCGTGCCGGACTATAGGACTGAGGTTCCGTGGTTCGAATCTCGATACTGCAATAAACAGTTGCACTTCCCACATCAAAAAACTGATAAGCAAATCCCACTATTCTGATTCATAAGAGTTGTCTAAGAACTGGTTGTGGGTTGTGTTGACTAGTTGCTTTCTAGTCTCTAGTCTATCACTTCGAAACTAGAGACTACTCACGCAGGTAACTTTCATGAAGCTCTGCGCAGAATTTGGCAAACAAAAATATAAATCACTACCTGAGACAGAAAAAAAGGGCAAGTTCTATTTCTGAAGATATGAAAATGGCTTATTATTCAAAAATGGTTTTAATATTCAAAATTATAACTACATGATTGAATGGACAATATACTATACATATGAATATTATAATAATACAGAATGTACGTGTCAGTAGCGTGAAGACTCAAACTATAAAATTCTGTTATTGGTAAAGAAAACGAAGTAGGTAAACAAGGATAACAAGAATTTTATAATTATCCGTCGTGGTTTTGTCACCACTTGCATTTTCAGCGACAGTGTAATTTGTTATATTTTGAAATGTTTAACTTTTCTGTATTTTGCAATAACCCTATCTATAACGTAGATATAATTTTGTTAATAAAAGCGTTCAATTCTTAAATGTGTCATACAGGGTGGTATAAATATACGTTTTCGAAATTTCTGTATTTTCTTTCAGTTCAGTTTGGACGTGGAAAGTCGTTCAAGTAAACAAATCTCAACTTTGCCTCATTTTAGCTTTCATGGGAACCTCGTTCGCTAATTGGCAACTAACAAAGTTTTTTGCATGGGAGATGGCACCTAACGTCTAGAAATAGAAAGCTGTTTTTCCTGTCGATGAATCGGGTTATGGCCTAGGGTTTCCCTCACCCAGCACTCAAGCACGAATGGGTAGAAGTGACGTGCAGAACATCATTTCGGGTGCAAACCTGGCTTAAGTTATCGTTTTTTTGTTATAATAAAAGCCAGGTTCTCCTTTGTTTAGTACATTGTTTTGTAATTTACCTTTTAGTGGACTTAGAGTTTTTGTTAAGACAGATTTTTTCTTCCTTCAGATTCTTTTGTCAATATTTAGTTTTTGTTGAGCTTTAGTTTAAATTTTAGTAACTTCTGTATCTTTGTTTCTTTCTTTTTTATCAACTGTTGGTTAATTTTTATTTTGTAGGTTTGTTTTAGTTTAACTTACGGGGGGGGCAAATATTGGATTGGTAAGAGAGAGCTCACAAAGGTTTCACTCCCCTTCTCTCTGTCTAGCCAGTTCAACACACTCCCCACAGATTCACCTGCCCCTGTTTTGTTTTGTGTTAGTAATTGTAATTGTGTTCTTGTAAATAAATAAAGATTGTTCTTGTGCACCTTCCACAATTCAACCCCTTTTTTTTTCTGACGAACTCAATTGAACACCGGAGAGATAAACAGTTATGCAGAACTCCGTTACTTGGTGTCTTTCGAACTTTCAGTGGGCCCTAACTCAATTGCTCTGGAGGAAATCCGCGAGCCGGAAAATACCATAAGCCCAATTTAAATATTCAAGCATAAACTAACGCGTAAATATTCACTCATGTTCCTTACGTTTACTAGAGAAGTAAACACAATAATCTTATAAAACGTTCAACTAAACACATTAATACCTAATCAGCATAAACGTTGTGTCCTGTATCCAAGTACTTTTTTTTTTTACTCACTGGTCACCGATTTAATTACTCTAATTTGATAACCAAACAGCTGATCTGGTTTCAGTACGTCCACTTATTTGGTAATAATCAACTTAGTCATAACTAGTTGGAGTAGTGAAGCATGCTTTTAGTGATGTATTGGGTCATAATCAATTAGAGAAGTGAAGCATGATTTTAGTGATGTATTGGGTCATAATCAACTAGAGAAGTGAAG